ACCAAGTCACAAACCCTATGGGAGAACCGGTTTTACACTCTATGGGAACAAAAACCCTTGTGATCTCACAAGAACCAAAATGTTTCTCTAATGCGCTCTTGATATCATCCCTAGGAAGGGAACAGTCGAATCCCCTAACGAAAATGGTTCTGTCATTGTCTCCAAATGCATCTTTATCATCGAAACAGCACTTATATTCTTCCACCTTTTTTTATTTTGGGTCAAAACAAGATATTTTTGGAGTCAATTCAGGTTACTATTTTATGAATTAGCTGCCTAAACTTGATGATCAGTTCATAAAAATACAGAAGCTAAATGAATCTGAAAAAGAATAAAGAGGTTTAAGAGCACAATTCATTATCATAAACAATGATTAACTTAAGAGGTTTAAGAGGAGGAACTTCTTAAGTTTAAAAGGCACACGTCAAAACAGGTTAAGTTAAAGCTGCCTAATAAACTTGATGATCAGTTCATAAAAATACAGAAGCTAAATGAATCTGATAAAGAATAAAGAATTTTTAGGAGGATGGATTGTTAGATTAAGTGTAAACAAACTCTCTAGGTTCCACCTTTTTTCGCTTCTTCAGATTTACTATCTCCGAATCATCCGACTCTCTCTTAGCTAAAAGAAAAAGCAACATTATAAACCAACGTTAAAAAGTTCAAATCTCACTAAAACTTAATTTCAAAAATCAAGATGATTGACAAATCAATATGCATGTTTTTCATACGTTCGATTTCAGCAAAAACAAATAATTCAAAAATCAATATATGCATGTTTTCTTCTATAAAACACTTATAAAAAGAAAGTCTTATATGTTGATGGGTTTAAAACATGAGATCACTTTCTCTCTCGAGCAACAAAAGGATATCAAAAGAAATAGCGACAAAAGGATAGCAACAAAAGATCAAACACAATTTCTTACCTTCCTGCAAAGGCTCCCTGACTTTATCAACCTAAAACCCGAAACAAAAAACAAGTCCACTCAAATTGTGAAGAAACGACTAATAGAAAGGAAAAAAAAGTGCTTAAAAGACTGATTAAAGAAGAAGGCCATAAGAAGAAGAAGAAGAAGATTACATCGGTGGATGCTGATGATTCCTCTAGCCCTTTGCCCATGGAGAAAAGTATTCAAGAAAAAAGACTGCTGCGTATTTTTACTCTTCTTTTATCCTTGTTTAAGCTAAGCTTTTGTGGGCCTGGCTTTATTTTATGGGCTTTTATGGGCCATCTTCTTTTGATATGATAAAAATCTATTGATCCAACTTGTTCTTGAACATATTACAAAGACATGAAATATGAAAGCAATGGATCCTCTGGAGTTGCTAGGGATACGTATAAAGACTATTCACGTGTTCATTTCAATATACATACAACAAAGGCACTAGATGAACCAGAGAAATGGTGAATGGAGCTTATAGGTGTTTTAGCTGAACCAAAGTGAGTGATTCTATATACACCAGGTGATGCGGTTTCAGGGATTCTCCATTCGATAGTCGCTGTGCTCTGCGTGCTGAGTTTGAACGGTCTTGACCACTTAAACCGGAGGCAAAAGTCGTCGTCATCATAAACGGGTACCCATGTCTCTCTTCCCTCGAGCCACCTCTCAACAAGCGCAAAAGTCCCTTCTGTCATCAGATCATTTCTCGGGTTAGCTGACCGGAATTGAACCGTCACTACGTCAGTTCCCTTTTTAAATTTGGAAAACCGAGGAACATCCAATATGACATCTCCAAATTTAGTTCCAATTGGTGTCATATCCGCAACCACAGGTGTTAGTAAGCTTATTTGCTTGTGAAGTAGGTCAGGTGGCTGAGGACCCGGGTCAGTGGTTTGGCCAGATAGAAGATCATTTGCTAGTTTCTTGAATTCTTGAATGTATCCACTTAGCGTGTGAGGTCCATACAAAGTCGATGCACCCTGACAGAAAAAAAATAGAGTTGGTTTAATAGCAGGAAATCAAGAAAGATCCAAGCTCTTCCTTCTTATCTGAGCCTCTGACCTCATATCTCTGAACTTGGTATTCCTCAAATGTGGTGATATACTGCGAGTATGAATTGGTTAGCCCGGCTATGACCACGCTAAATTCTCTTCCATTGCTGCCTTCCTTAAGCACTGTTTTCACAGCTTCCCGGAGTCGCCTCCCTGCCATTGTTGTGAATTCTTGCAAGCAAAACCAATGAGAGGAAATTACTAATGTTCTACATCAGTCCTGATATGATTTTCTTTTTCGTTCTGGGAGAATCTGGAATACCTCCAGGGACGCAGAGAATCACTAGCTGGCCAATGCGGAGGATCTGAACTGGTAATATCGACGGCTGAAAATGGATTAAGGAACGGTTTTTCCATCACAAAGAGTAAAGTGGGATTCAATTTTTATACATTTCAGTAAAAGCATAAGGGTGAATGATAAACAGATTATGCTCACCGCCCAGTCGTATGGTTGTTTCATTTCACCGGTATCAAGCAATATTGGTTTAGGTCGCTGGCACCGGACCTGTTCCTCAGTTGGATTCTTGAGAAGGTTCCTTACAAGCCTCCAGAAAGGATTTCCCTGACACAAAGTCACAACATAAAGTATAGTAATAAACATCTTATTACCAAGTTAGAAGGAGAATTTGTGTTTTACCTGATCATCTCCTTGTTTAAAGTCAAATGCTCCAGGTCCATCAGTTGTTCCTGCAGCGAAACCAAAACCCATTGCAGCTGGGCATGTTTTCACCACTTGGGAACCTCCATTTTGTCCATTAATCGTCACTTCAAGCTGAGAGAAATCAACAAAAGCATGACGGTAGTCAACTTTTCCTTGTATCTCTTCAGAGGCTTTAGTGAAAAGATCCGCAGCCTTCTTGAACTGCCTCTCTCCAATAAGGCGGGTACTCTCAAATTCATCAGGGTAGCTGAAACATTTAGTCATGCCAAGTTATACATCTAACAAGCTTGGCTCTAAATACCATATTGAACTGAGAGAACAGATTTTTCTGTGACTGGTTTCCGCATTTCTGAAAGGAAATGTGTGCAATTAGGAATAAGACGTACCCTGGTCCGCGGCCGTAGCACTGTTCATTCTTTCCACCACAAGTACTGTGGTTGAAGTCACAAGGAAGGCCTGTGTTTATACAGAAGGCTCCCAACACGTTCGGACTAACATCACCGCAGTTAGTTTGACAGAAGGCAGAGACAAAGATAGGTTTGTCAGCGTGTCTGAATCCACTTCTGACCCGCTTAGCAACGCTTGACATCCTTGTAACGGTTTTACCGCCTGTAGACAGTAACGAGGATGCCATTTCCATCAAATCTTGATCTGCAATGAAAGCAATACAAAGTTAGTTTTACAATAACACGTTACACGCCATTACCAAAACTCTTGGAGCTATGGTTACTTATACTCACCATGAGGATCTGTGATTATGCTTGAGACCCTTCTATGAGATTCAACATCATTTGATACGCGACAGTCTTTTCGTTCAAACCAGTCTTCCATGATACGTGCTGCAGTGCCTTTGTTGTCCCCGCTAATCAAGGAATTTGTACGGCTCATCGAAGTTCCATGAGTTGCAAACCAATTGAAACTACCCACTGGACCCCATTGATCATCAACGAACTTGACAAGTGTCATCTCTTTATCGACATCATATTCATATTTACTACGTTCATGTGCCGGATTGTTAAGGTATGCGCTGGGACTACGGTTCACACCAGCATCCAAGAGCTCCCCTGCAAGTTCAGCTCCAAAAGAAATGTCTTTAGAGAGAGCAACATGTAAATGAATCATAAAAAAAGTCTGCCACAAGCTAAAGCACTCACCTTTGTTGATTAAAATGGACCCGGGACGGAGATTTTCATGAGCTTGTATGATACTTTGCTCTATACCGTACACAAGAGCATTGAACGATTGATGAACAAACCCGAGAGATGTAACTAAGTACAGAATGTGTTGGAGATAACCCCCTGGACCAGCATGAGTATGAGTTCCACTAATTGCAACATTTTCCTCAATATAAAGCTCACCGTACCTTCAAAGAAATTGAAATTGAATTAAATATGCTTACAAGAGTATGTTACAAACTTACAAGATAGTCCTACCTACCTACCTCTGTTTCAATCTTTCAATCACTTTGATTGTCACAAGCTGTGAGGCCATACCAGCATCAAGATTAACAAAAGCAATCCTTGTCCTGTATGGCTCAGCCACTATGAACGCGCGAGCTCTGAGCCTGAAGTGAACACCGGATGTTACTTGTTCCATGTTAGCATATCCCATCATGTTGACATCAGCTGCAGGTCCCGTGATGTCATAGCTTCCAAGACCGATCAAATAATCGGAATCCGAAAATACACATTTGATCTTCAACAGTAATAGCAAGAACAATATGCAGTGCATAGACACAGAACGCCTAGTCATCTTCACACTCAATGTGGAGCAATCAATTATTTCTCATTTTTGGTCCTTCCTATAGAAGCTTGCCAAAGTAAGCAACACAAACAAACAAACACAAACACACATCTTTCATGAATCTCAATTATTAAACCCAAGAAATTATCCAACCTGAACAAGAACAAGAAGTAATGCAACCCTTAAAATGATTTAAACTGATGAACACACTAACCGCAACAATGAAGAGCGACCCATTTGCAGGAGCTTATAGAAACTGATTGATGTGAATGCTATGAAGCAAAAAAAAAGAAGCAATAAAGTTTCGTCTTTTTTTTCTGGAGGAGAAATTGGAACAACGATCAGAGTCCGAAGTAAGAGTAAAGTGTGAGGAAAGTTCTTACTTTTAAGGTTGCGGAGAAGGAAAGCTTCTTAATTTGAGCTGTTTTAGCGTATCCGTCGTTCTCAATTCGATTTCTAAATTTTCAAAGTTTGGATTTTTTGGGGCAAAGTTAGTCAAAATGCAAAAGTAATGGGGTCATATTGTAATTTATTAAATATTATTGGGTCTGTTTGTGAATAAACCAAAATTTGGGGTTTCTCTTTGTCTCTTCAACCTCAGTCGCCGATCTTCAACAGTGGCTGCAACAAGAGAGAGAGAGAGAGAGAGCGATACAATGGCGATGACTCTTATGAACAGAGCAATCTCTAGAACCGAAACCGTCGGTGCTTTCAGACTCTCGCTTAATCTCCTAAGGAATTTCTCTGCGGCGCCGGCGGCGGCATCTACTCCGGCGAGTGAAAACCCTAGCTCCGATGCGAATAAACCTAAACGAAGAAAGAAGAAGAATTTAATCGAAGTCGCTCAGTTCTTACCTAATTGGGGAATCGGATACCATATGGCTAAAGCTCACTGGAATGGAATCTCTTATGAAATCACTAAGATCAATCTCTATAAGGTTCTTCTTCTTCTCTTTCATGTTTGGATTGAAAATTTTACATTTTTCGTCTGTTACGAAATCATTTGGGGTTTGTTTATCTGATTTGGGTTTTGTTTGATTCTGGATTCAAATGCAGGATGGTAGACATGGAAAAGCTTGGGGAATTGTTCACAAAGATGGTGACTTTTTGTTCCTCATTTGTTTAGTAATACTATGTTTCTATGCTTATTGATCACAAAGTTGAAGCTTTTTGTCATGTGTATGGAGTGGAGTAGCCATATCTGGAACTAGATAATCACCATTGCATTGGTGTTGAAGTTTTATGCAGCTTTCATGAGAGTAACATACATACATATTCTCAAAATGCAGGATTGCGAGCTGCGGAAGCTCCAAAGAAGATAAGCGGAGTTCACAAACGGTGTTGGAAGTATATCCCGAACCTGTCAAAGACTGCTCCTGCAACAAACTCTGCAACCGCTGCTGATGTCCAAGCTGCCTGATCTATTTACTTCCATTGTTGTGGGTACTTGTTGATCTATCTGTTTGCAAGTTTCTTTTCATTGGGAAGATACAGTTGTTGTTACTTGATAGTTTCTTGGAATTCGTCGATAGATTTGTAGGAAATGATCCATAATCTCGGATGATGATCGGTTGTTCGTTGTTCTTGTTAAGACTTTACACTTCTTGCGTTGGATTTTACTGTGCCTGCATCACTGAGCCTAGGGTTTTGCTACTATTCAGTATGAACTTGTTTTGTAGGAGATCTTTTGGTTTCAAACATGTAATAAACGACCTCAATTACGAGTGGCAGGTTTTAGTTTCTATCTCCAACACTTTTGTTTTGTCATACTACATATGAATTAGAACCAAATTTTAACGGACATTTTCTTCCAGAATTTGGTGAAGCTCAAACCAAAATCCCAAATTTTCAATATTTGAAAGTCTCCATGTCGCTTGAGCATGAAGACATGTGAAAAGGATATGATTTAGTAGTCTCCTCTTCACACAACATCTTTGTTTCTTTGTTCAAATAATACATCTTTTGCAGTAAAAATCAACTTGAATACCTCTCCTGATCTTGTATTGTGTCGGTTTATCGAATCGTCCATGTTATGGAATGGAAGATAGTCTTGTTGGACCAATTTTACATTTCTCCCAATTTCCGTGGACTAAATTGCATCACAGACTCCAAAACCATCGTTTTGATTCACCTTTTAATGAAAGCAGTTTTTGGTTGAACCAATCTTAGTCAAGTATCAGGGATCCACATATGAACCAATCCATATGATATATATCTAAGTCCTTGCTCTAAATGATATCTACATGTAAGCAAAGATCTCCAAGTAATATATATAAATATGATGGGTTTCATTCTATAGTCCTGATTTTTGATCAATCAATCTCCATACTTGTTAGGCTAGAAGGGCCCTATTGAACTAATTCAAATCCATGAAGCCCATCCCTCCATTACTCTTTTAATTCTATTTTGGCCTTATATTCATGCTATCCAAGGCATTTTCCCTCTCTCTATTTAAATAACAAAAAAAAAAAAACTGTTTAAGAAAAATTATGAAAATTGAAAAAACATTTTAATATGTTTTGTCAACAATATTTGTATGTGTATAATACTATAATCTAGTAAACTCAAATATGATAAAAATAGTAAACAGAAGAACAAAAAAAACAGGAGAATTTTAAACAGTTTGTTGGTGAAATAAACATACTACTATTTTTTTTTTCCAGAAACATACTACTATTTATAATTGAAAAAAATAGACAAATTGATACTATTAAATTACTCAGCTTATAATATAACAATTAAAAAAAACTACTGTGTATAAATGAAAATAGCATTTCAAATTTGTTCTTCTTTTATTTTTTTCTTTGGAACAATAATTATTAAAGAAACGGTGAGTTTCCTTCCAGCCAACATTGTTACATCCTGACACAGCCACTGACATTGACAGTGATTTTATGTTTAGTTTCATCAATACCCCTCAACTTCTAAACATTTTTATTTTTAATCTCATGTTTTCTACTTTTCAACGAAACCCAACGCTATTGAATATATATGTTCACTGTCCAGAGTTCACCAACCCACTTCAAATCAAAATCAGTTTAAGCTTGAAGTCATTAGGATTTATTTTCTTGTATAAACAATTAATATATAAACAATCCAAGTAATGTACTACTAACTACTAAGTGTCGAATGAAACTTTATAGAAGCAAAGTACTTTGTTTTTCACAGTATGAGTAAAGTACTAACAGTCTAACACCACATAAATAAATTTTTGTTGGAAAAAGAAAAAAAAATCTTATTGAAGATAACAAGTACTATAAATCTATAATAAACGCTTTTTCGTCCTATTAATGTTCTAACTTCGAAGTAACGTGGGTATACTTCGTTACTAAATCTCTATAACTCCTTTTTGTTCAATTTTGTTTCTTAAGTAACAATTAAATTTTTTAGGAACTGTAATTAATAATTTAATACTAATTAAAAATCTACTCGTACAAAAGAAGAAGTACAATCGTTTATTCAAATATAGATATGGAAAATTAAGTGGAATTTCAATGTAGAATCATGAGTTAAGAATCCGTACCACGGGATCTAACAATGTTAAAAAGCACCCACCTTGTTTTGAAATATCTTCCAAACTTGAGGGAGACAAAAAAAACAACAAGAAGTAAAAAAAATTGTCTTAAAAAAAAAAAAAAAAAGAGAAGATAATAATTAAAAAGAACAGAACAGAAGCTGCTCTTTTGTCCAAAGCTTCTTCCTTTCTCTTTCTCCAACATTTCTTCTCTGCAAGTTAAAACTTACTAAAATAAAATAAATTAATAAACCCTTCAAGACAAAATTAGCTTTTTTGTTTTTTTGGTTTTTTTTTTTTTTTTTATAATTTTGTTTTTGGTTCCTCGTAAAACCCATGAGTGACCCCTTTGGTTCCTCTTTGCTTTAATCCTCAAGAAAGAAAAAAAAAATGCCTTCTTTTGCTTTTGGATCTCATCACCATTTGGCGAATCCTAGAGACTCGCCGTACTCCGTCGAAATTAGCGTCGACGGTGACTCCTCCGACTTGGATTCTTTGTCTGAGGTCGATTTAGAGTCCGGCGGTGTACCGGCGCCGGAGAAAAAGCTACATTCCGGTGGTAAGAAGAGGAGAACAAGGAGGAGAAAGAGGAGGAAGAAGAAGAAGAAAGGTGGAAGAGATTGCAGGATCTGTCATCTTCCTTTAGAGACTAACAAAGAAGCTGGAGAGGAAGAAGAAGAAGAAGATGATGATTCTGATTCTGATGAAGATGAAGAAGATGAAGAAGAAGAAGAGTATTATGGTGTGCCTTTGCAATTAGGTTGCTCTTGTAAAGGTGATTTGGGTGTAGCTCATAGTAAGTGTGCTGAGACTTGGTTCAAGATCAAAGGAAACATGTAAGTTTCTTTAATTTCTCTTCAAGACTCTTTGTTTTTTTTGCAAAATTCTACAGATTCTGTGAACAAAAATAGTAAAGGATGAAACTTTATGAGGAAACAAAAGTACTTGCTTTTTATGTACTTTGAGTTTTTTTTTTCCTTCTTGTCTGATTTCTAGAGATCCATATGATTGCTTCTTAGAAAGATTGTCTACTGAAGCTGGAATCTACAGTTTTTGTGTTGTCAAATTGTGTCTTATGTTCTAATTCAGTTTGGTTTCTGTGATTTGCTTCGAAACATTCAGTTTCAAAGGCTTGATTTTGCAGCTGCATTGAGAATCTTGCAGTCCCTTTTGCTGAGACAGTTTGAATTTTTACCAATCAAGATTGTACCTATAGCTCTGTTTAGCTTCTGTTTCTGTGTCTTTGCATTGTCTTAGGCCGTAGAAACCGGTGAAAATTATACCTCTTCTTGTATGTTTACAAGATGAAGCAAGTCTCCAAGGCCAAGGGCTTTACTGATTAGCATTTATCATATTGTTCTATGAATCTGAGCAGGACATGTGAGATATGTGGCGCAATGGCTCTAAACGTGGCTGGTGAACAATCAAATCCGGAGAGCACTGCCTCTACCCATTCACAAGCAGCTGCGGGACAATCTCAAACTCAGACAGAGCCACGGGGAATCTGGCATGGTCGCCCTGTTATGAACTTCTTACTTGCCGCTATGGTCTTCGCCTTCGTTGTTTCTTGGCTTTTTCACTTCAAAGTCCTCAAGTGAAACGTTTTCCATCTCTCTCTATTTCGCCCACCCGCACGCGCTCACTCTTCTCCTGTTCTTGAGCCGCTTGCAATCGCTGAATCAATCCCTCCTGTTGCTTGATTATTCACACGTTTTGTAGCTGTAAAAACTTGGTAGTGTTTAGATTGTTCATTGTTGTGACTTGTGAGATTTACATCTTGTATAATATTATCCTCTGCTCCGGCTTGGTGAAACTTCTGTATGGTCAGGAGGGTCTTAGCTCTTTTGGTTTCAGACACAAACATCTTTGGCTTTAAAAACTGGTAATAGATAAATACTGGACAATAGGTGTGTTCAATCTTTTTTTGTACTTCAAATGAAGAAATTAGTTTGAACAAATCACATGTAAGGATCTTGGACTTAAATGAGAAAGATCCTTCTTTTCTTGATTCAAATGTGATTTGAATCATCTCTTCAAATTGGAAACCACAAATTTAAGATAATGCTTCAAGAAAACAAAGATAATGAGGCTTTCTCAGAATCCAATCAGAAAGCGAAGAAGACGGAAGAGAGAAGAAACCTATACACTTGGAAGTTTTCAGTTTCTGTTGTTCTGTTTCTTGGCTTCCAAGGAAGTTCCATCTTTTAGGGTTTCGCAGGCGTCTTTATCCATTCCAAGGCTGAAGAGAGCAGCAGCCTGAAGATAGAAAGCCGTTGGCCATTCAGGAGACACTACTTGCGCCTGCATTGCATCACCAAGAGCCTCTTGAGGCATATTACTCATCAGATAACACAAACACCTCCTTGCAAAAACCGTTGGCGATACCATTGTGCCATCTTCGATGAACTGCAGATACAATAAGACGGATTGAGTCGAGTTCCCGGGGAATTATGTTTCTGGGTTTCAAGAAAGTAACCAACTTTCTGTTTCTTACCTGCGTGTAACATTCAACGGCAGTGACAAAGTCTTTGCCTTTGAACGCAGCATCTCCTTGTTTCTTTGAGTTTAGAGTCTCCTGAATCTGGTCGGTCCACACTTGGAACGAGAGCTGTATTGCAAATAAAACACGAACCTCAATAAAAACTTTTTTTTTTCTCAACAAATCTCTACATTTGAAGGTCATTGACCTCATAGAAGATGAAGAAGCTTCTTGTTCATGTACATACCTCATTTGCTACGCCCTCGTCATCTTTGTATCCCACCTTTTCAAGAATTTCATGTATCGCGGTGAGATCAAGTCTTGAACAAGCGTCACCAAGAGGGGTTAGCGAAGTTGTTTCCTTTGGAGAAGCAGCTCCATGTGGAATCCCCATTAAGACATAAGACGGAATCTGAAGAAAACAACAGAGATACAGAACAAGACGAGGAGTCAGGAGACTTGAATGGTTGATACATTAAAGGAATGTGATTTAGTGAGTGCATACATCAGTTTCTTTCTGAAGAGGAGCCAGTGAGGACACGAGAGATTTCACATTCGGCCTTTCACGAGCTTCATACTGCAAACAACGGGAAGCTAAGCGAACCAAATCGGTTCCATCATCGTTTGAGAAATGACCGTCGAGACACGAGTCCATCAGCATGAGGAAGTTCTTCCCACGAATCAGATCAAGCGCCTGCAGAACAATGGTAGAGCATATGGAACAAATCAACTTTTTCTGGGATCAAGGAGAAGAAGCTAATAGATCAAGAACTTCCTTCCAAGAAAAGTTGAGCCATGTATGGTGCTTGTGAATGGTGCACTTACATGGCTTGGTGGTATGTGTTTGCCGCTGAGAAGATCTAGCAACAGCGTTCCAAAGCTGTAGACCACGCTCTCCGGAATCACTCTCCCTTAAGAGATTAATATACACACATTGATTCATCGGATCAATATCATAGCTTTGACAAACAGCAAACACATAACTTGACCCCACTGCATCTCATATCAGTAACTGACCTGTTCTTAGATATTCAGGAGGTGTGAAAGCCAAATTTGTACTGTAACTCTTCCCATCCCTACTATTCTTCATAAGACCGAAGCAAGATAATCTCGGGTTACCATCCTGTAATCAAGATTATAGAAACATTATCAGAATCCCAAAACAGTAACTTATACTAAAAAACAAACATAAATGTAATCAACAGCAAGAAAGAGACAAAAGAGACAGATAGTAAGCTCGAGATGGACCTGGTCAAACAAGATCCTGTAAGCATTAAGATCGTGATACAAGGCGCGACCTTTGCTGCTGCAATACTCAAGTGCTTGTGCAAGATACAAAGCCACTCTCAACCTCATAGACCACTTCATTGGCTGGCTATCCCCTACATATCATCACACATTTATTAAGTTCCACCATTCTTTTGCAGACAAAATGGAATTCTCACACCAAATAGTAACGAAAACGATGATTCTTTCATCATAAATAACATATGAGCATTTAAAGTCTCGATCTTTTGTTCAACAAGAAAATCAAAAAACAGGAATTTCCAACTAAATCTACTAAACACTGTGTTAGAACAGCTGCTACTCGATCTCTTAAAGATGATGAAAAGCCTTACAATGGAAGAGATGCTTAGAGAGAGTTTCAAAAGGCATAAACTCAGCAACGAGCAATCTCTCGTCTCCTTCACAACAGAATCCAATCAAATTCGCCAACCTCTCATTCCTCAACTGCCCAACAGCTTTAGCTTCTTCCTAAAGATCAATCAAATGAAACAGTAAACACCACAAAAAATAAACCACCAAATGCAGCAAGGTTTTAAATTGAAATGTAAATGATAGAACCCATCAATGGAAATGAGTAAAGGAATCAAATTTACGAGAGTTCGTACAAGAAATTGACGCGTATCAGGCCAAGCGGATCTATTGAAGCGTTTAACAGCGATCCATCGGTCATCTTCAAGTCTGCCTTTATACACAACATTAGGAGCTTTAACACCATGTTCGGAGACGATACTGTCCGTAGAGAATCCACAAGTAGCAGCTCGTAGTTGGTCGAAACTGAACTCAGTGAACGACGGCAAATCGTCTGTTCCGTTATCTGTCGGAACAAAAACTTAAACTTTGTTAGCAGAGAGTGTGAAAATGCGGGAAAGGTAGAGACTTTAAGTAAGAAGAAGTGGTTATCACCTAGATCAGAAGCGTCGTTGTGAGTTGATTTGAGATGGGTCGGCCACCAACAGAGAGAGAGCTTAGAGCAACGAGGTCCCATTTTGGGTTTCAAAGATTTAAGGAAGATTGAAAGATTTCTTAGCTAAAACTCGAAAAGCAAAAACCCTTCTTTTTTTTTTGGTAAGAGAAGAAGTGGAGAGAGATTTAAGAGAAAAAAAGGTTTTGTTTTTCTTATTTTGGTTCTCGAGGAGAAAGGAATCTGTGGAAAATTTTATATAGCGCACGTAGTGGGGAAGAGACACAGTGGTGACTGGTGAATCATTGAAAAACGTTAAATTTCTTGAGCAATAATAAGTGTTTTACTTGTGGATCCAATGTTTCTCTCTCTCGCTTTTTTACTTTTGTTTTTTCATTAAATATCTTACATTTTTACATTTTTTCACTTTTCCTAAATGTGGAATGTTGATTTCAAACTAGATTTGAACTGAACTTTGATCTACATTCTGATAGCGTTAAAACAGAATTTTGTTCGATTAGTAGTTAGATACATTCAAGTCTCACTTTACAAAATTGATTAATATATATTTTACAACCTTAAATAAATATTCTTTTGATGTCTATTATATCACCATTAGATTTTATACTAGTATTATTAATAATAATTTTTTCTTATTTACGACGAACAAATATAATTTTTGCAGTATTTAGAAGAACAATAAACCATACAAATATGTACGATATCATATCCGTAATCCGTTTAGAAAACATTTTGGAAAGTTTGCAATACGAAAGTTTTAAAGAATGTTTTAGAAAGGTGCATGTAGGAATGTTTATAAATTTATTTATTTTTAATTGGTGCTTTTGAAAGATAACAAACAAAAATAAAGTATTTAGAGTAACTTTAAAACAAAACCAAATGAGGAAATAGAAAGAAAAAAAAAACAAATTAATCGCGAAAGCGGACGTTTCCTTTGTCGTCGAACTAGACAACCTTGTGTAACTCTGAAACGTCCAGTTAAAAAATTAAAATATGAAGTGAAAAAATAAAAACCAATAATCAGAAACTGCCAATAATGCGATATATTACTAAATTAGGGGCAAAATCGTAAACTGAGTAGTCAAAGGGTCAAAGCTATGTGTGCATGCGTGTGGGTGTGAATATTAAAAAAAAAGTGGCAGTGGTAGTAATAGTTTAGGAGAAGTTGCATTTATGTGTTCTCTCCATTTTACAAATCTATCTAATCTAGTTTTCTCTTCACATATTTAACTCATATTGCCAAAGGATTTTGCCTAAATTACAGATTTCACTCAATTTATTTAATATTATATTGTAATATATCCATTCATAAAAGAATGTTACAATTTCACTTTGTTATGTTCTTTATATATATTTTTTTTTGGTAAAATATGTTCTCTATATTATATGAGCATTTGAACCCATAAGCGAAGAACTTTCCAGCTAAAATGACTCAGACCGGTGACCCAACCAAAAGAAAGAGGTCCATGAAGCATTTTATATGCGAGTCAAAAGCTTTCGCGGAGTATCATAGACGTATTACACCGCAAAGCTCATTTTTCGTAGAAAGTTAAATCTTTCTCTATTATATGTATACGTATTAGAACCAACTTTTTGTTTGTTTAAATAATTCTTTATTTATAAGAACAATTAATGTTGGTTGGTGGAGACAAAGAGGATCTTGGTGATAAATATGGTAAAGAAAGTAGTAATAGAAGATGACTTCACGCGTGTGCCAAGGAGATGTTTGTTGTCCTTTGGGGGACACATTTTAGCCTAATTTAAGATGCTCTTAAGTGACCAAGCTAGGACCACTACAACTATAAATAATGGAAGATAAATCATATTCTTATAGACAATGGAGCGTTATTTTGAAGGTTGCATGTTCTAATAATTCGCTTCGACTCTTGGCTCAAGAAAATGTTCATGCCAATAACGAAATTTTGGCAACCTATATTATATATACACAATAAAACTAATAAGTAGCAATCATAAGCTTTGAAATAAATTCTTTCAATTGGTCTATATCTTTTATTTCTTATGATGGAAAGACGAAACCTTAGTTTGTAGTTTTGTACATATTTAGAAGCAACTTACAAAAAGTTGAGTAGTGAGCTCCGGTAGTTTTGAAGAGCACTACTCAACATATAAGACGCGATTTTTGCTATTAGTTTTGGAATTTTAAAAGTCAAATGTTATTTGTTGGCTTGAGAAACTATATAGAGTTTTGTTTTTTTGTTTCTTTTGTAAATCTTATTTAGACGCTAGTGTTTTAGAGGGTTTTTAACAAAAGACCAACTATAAGAGATACTTTTACACACACACACAAAAGGTTTTTTTTTTCACAGATATCACAAGTATCACAAAAGAGAAACCGAATAGTGTAATTGATATTTATAATTACATAAAAATAAAACAAAAAGTGTATGTAATTACATATATGGATAGTATTGGTCCAACCAATGTCGAGTTTTAAGAGAACACATTACTTGTTCTTAACCACATTCAAACTATCCGCTTTGTAACGAACACAAGCCACGTATAAATGGATTATAGTGTGATTACAATAATTCAGAGTCTTCTTTACGACAAAAATAAAAGAGAATCTGAAAGATGTTTTATAAGAACATACATATGCAAATACATGTAATGATGGAGTTTGAAGGATTTCTATATAAAAAAGTAATCTAAATAGTAAAATAGATGTACGTAAACACGTTGGCCAAAGTGAATAACTAATTGTTAGAACCGGAAGTGAATAACTAATTTCAAGAGTATTGATCGTGATATTCGTAATATCATCACCGGAAGACGACCGTTAATGCTCCTATGGATCCGTTAATTGTGTTTTCCTTTTATATGTATTGTAACCTTGTTTTTTATTTCTTTTTGCCAAGGTTATTCTCCTCTTAGGTAATGCTTTTTGTAATACCTCAACTTCATTTTTAATGATATTTACAAGCTTAGCAAAAAAAAAAAAAAAAAAATTGTTAGAACCATCTTTTTAACAAATAGTGATAATTAAGTATTGAAATTTTATTGTTAATATTAATAAATTGATCTAAAACAGACTAGCATTACATGTTAAAAAATATTGCAAGAGATCAGTTTCAGAAAACATAATCATTTAGACAAAGGAAATATCGTTTGGTGAAATCTCGGATAATCTTCTCAATAATGAGATTCTATATATATATTAGCATATGGCAAATTGGATATTGATGGGTCTACCATGTTGCTTGTTGTGAGTTCAAAGTGCATAAAGCTATAAAATCCACTCTGTTCCTCACTGTCTTTGTGACCGAAAAAACAACAACTTCACGTGAACGATGGCAACATTTTTATTCTTTTCTTATACCTCTTTGACTTTACAAGACTAAATTTTGAGAAGATGAGGTAATCAAATCTCAAAATTATGCAGAACTAAGACTTATCTATAATTTACATGGAATGTTTATTAAAAAAAATCAAACTTTGTCTGATCAGCTGGGCCAGGTTCAAAAACACTGTTCCTGTGAATCCAATTCATCATGACAAATGATCACATGGCAACATCAAAAAAGGCCCTTTAATTTTCCAGAGTCAGGCTTTTGATGTTTCAGAAACCAAAGATTTTCACAGCTTGAAAGTAGCCAACATTATATATGGAGAGATAAGATATAAAAAATATTCACACTTAAGAGTTGGGAAGATCATTAGACTAACTACTTTAAAGATATCTTCTAGCTGCTTTCTTATTTCCTGCAACTGTTTTATCTCTTAGGCTTAACACTAATAATATGATCACATACCTGCAAGTAAAATTTTTGGGTTTGAAGTAAAAATACAAACTTCAGACCCGCCCGACAGGCGAGAGCGGCGGTTGATACCCGACGGTGTTGCCATTAGGGTTTGAATCTTGGTCCGGGACTAACACGGTCTTTCCCCTAGCTTTATGTTCATCACAAGAGCTTTTGTGCTCAAGGGTGATCTCTGACATTTTCCTACTCTCTGCAAGTGCCATACATATGGAGAACGCTTGTAGTTGTGAAAGGGATGAATTATACACCACTGAATATATCCCTTCTTTGATCGGTTTAAAGCTCAAGAACGGATGTTCCTCGGGTTGTTCTCCCTGAAAACACGTAGAAATGTGATGATGAATTCTTTTGGTTTTGATATCGAAGAGGGAAAAAAAAGGAGACTGGATTTGGAACTAGGTAGAGAATATGTACCAGAAAGAAAAGCTCGAAACGGTTTGAAGAGGGTGGTGAGTTTGAAGTTGTCGAGTTTTTGTGGGAGAGGTTGTGCTGATTTGTAAGAATCCTGAGATTACAGCCCATGTCCCAACCTCCACAATCACAAGATCCACCTGTTCTCCATCGCTGGATCAAAGACGATGGCCCTCCTTTCTGAGGCATACTATGAACACCGCTTTGAAGTATGACAGTAGCACTAATGTCTTGGTCAAAAAACCTGTCTTTGATGTGATCTTCAAGCTCTCCACTGGGTGCATTGTGATCCTGAACCGTGTTTAGTGATGCCCTCCTGTGAAACCATCTTGGCATCTTCACAATGATCGCAGCTAGCTCGTTTTTCAACTGCAGATCAGACTTTTCCGTGCTCTCTTGATCAAATTCTACAGAGAAGAGAACAAACTCTCTGATGGAACCAGATGGCAAAGAGCTTGAAACCCGCATTTGAGCAACAACATTAGAGATGAGACCATGTGCTTGGCCTCTGCCTCTTTGGTTTAACCACCCACTATTTCTCTTATGGTCTTTAATGGAGAAGAAAGTATAAACACTAGTACATTCACCCTCTTCCGAGCTTCCCATTTTCTTTTGGGTGGCCGCAATGATGTCGGTTTCTTTGTTCACTGCAAATGTAAAGAGTGGCTGATTGTTCTTAACGTTTACCCGCAGAACAGCTCGAACCATGGATGATCCTAGCTTCTTCTCGTGAGCTGAATCATTGACATTTACTGATTTGCAACCCTTGATACCCAATTTTATTCTTTGTACGCCTTGACCTCTCGGCCCCTCCACAGAAATGCCAGAGTGAATTGCTCTTGGCTTCAAAAGTGGTTGTAGCAACCTTCTTAAATGGCTTGTCGTGGTTGTATCTTTTTCACTGGGTTTGTAGCAATCTGAGCCGTCAACATCAGATAATAGAGCCGCATTTTGTGAATCTATCTTTGTGGAGTTAGCCATTGTATCTAGCTGGGTTGTGGGAACAGTAACTCCTTCACTGTTAGTTTTGCTGGCCTTACCCATATTGAAGCTAAGCCGCTGAAAAGGTGATATACTTCTCCCCGTTTCAGATGCCACTTTAGGCGCCTTTGAATTTTGTCTCTGGCCAGGCTCATTCATACAATGTTTCACAGATAATAAAGATGATGCTCTGTCCTCTGTGATTTTACCTTTGGAAGATATATTCCTTGCTTTTGTTAAGAGTGGCACGCACTGAGATAGTTCAACTGAAACCTTTTTCTGGTCAGTATCAGTGGAGCCAAGTTTACTATTTGTCAAGCAGCCATCAGCATTACATGGCAAGGGGCAAGAATGTTGTGTACAGTAATCTCCTTCAACACCATGAACAACCCGGACTTTTCTATTCGAACTCCTCTTGCAGATCTTAGCCTCCCCCTGCTGCTTTCCACTAAGTTCTCCATCATGATCATTTCGGTTTCTTTCGTTCAAGTTCTTTTCACTCTTCCTACGTCTGTTAGATTTTACCTCCATGTTCAAGCCAGCCTCTGGATTCAATCCATGTGACAAAGTTCCATTTTTAGAGCAGATCTTCCCTTTCAGATCCTTCTCTTTACACCCATCTAATCTTTGTGCACCAGTATTTGGACCAAACTGCTCATGTGGTATGCTGAAACATCTACGATCTTTGTGTTTCTTTTTCCGAGTACATTTGATTTCATCACACTCCTTTACAGTTTCTTCAACAGAATTTGACATTACACTGGAATGCCGTGAGCTACGATGTTTCATTCGACAATCCGAACTACGGTTATGCACTTTACTCGGACCGGCAGACGACTCATCTCTCGGCGGAGGAGCCAACAAAGCATCTGTATGGGAAACCATAGGGAATCTAGTCTTCATTGAAACCCTGTTATGACTATGCTGCCACTTCTCCAAACGACCCCAATCAAGAACACCAACACTCAAGAGCTTTTCCTGAGGGGTGGTTTCAGCTCTCTCCAAGAAAACCGGTAGCTTGGACATATACTTAACAAGCTCATGACTCTCCAAACATTGTTGTTTCACTGGAGTTTGCAAAGGTTTAGTAGTACCAGAAAAACTCTTCTTCTCCAAACGGCATTCCATAGCTAGTCACAGAACCACTGGATTCACATCAATCCAACTTAAATGACTTCCTGGATTATGAAAATTGAAGAAATACCAAAAATCAATGACATCAAAAAGTACATTGAAAGCGTTTTCTGATAGGTCTTTTCCACAATGATCACGGCATCAGAGAGAGAAACAAAAAAAAGTGGTCCTCATGGACGCAAAAAGAAATGGAGGAAGAAGAAGATAATAATGATTGATATCAAAACATCTTTCGATAATGCTAAAAATACATATGATGGACCCGAAGAAACAGCTGAATGATGCGTCCGTGCATTTATGAACAACTATCACAGATCACTGGGAAACGACAAAAACGAATTTCAGATTTGATTCAAAAATTTTGACGGATCCAAGAAAAAAAAATGGGAGAAGAAATCGAAATTTCGAAATTAACCAAAATCCTAAGCTCGGAGAAGAAAGAGACGACGGTATATACACAAATCGCTAAGAAATTGTTCTTAAAATCAACAAACTTAAGACGATCAAGGTTAGATTTGAAACAAAATTATATAGGTTTAATAAGATTCTTCATGTGCTTCTTAACCTAAGCATAGCAATGGAGTGGTTTCTCAGCTAACGAAGCTTAACGAAACGGCAACGGTTCAACCAAATCCAAGCGAAGAAACTTTCCCGAGAAAATCCGGGAAAAAAATGAGTAAATTACCTCAAACAGCGAAGAGAAAATGCAGAACCGACACAACCACTCGGTGATGAAGAAGACGAAGACACACAGAGAGATAGAGAGAAAGAGAGAGATTCAAAAATCAAGTAGAAGAGTGAATCAGCAATGTGAAGATCCAAAAAAAAACACAAAGAAGTGATCGATTCATATAAAAGCTAGAGAGAGAGAGATTGTGACTGGGAGAGAAGATGATCGGACGGTGGAGAATGAAGGGAAAGTGTAAATCATGCGGTTGAGAATATCGAGGAAGGCGCGGGAATGGTTTATGTCAGGGTGGTCCCCACATGTGTATATGCACATGTTTACGTGTGCTTATTAGCATAAGATTTCACCATTAACTGACAAAATTATTACTCAATTTTTAAAAGATTAGCATTTATTAGATACAGTCGTCTAATGTCAACACAATATTAATGATTAACATCAAAGAAAAATAATTCACATGTTTTACGGCCTTTAGGTTATAATCTAATTCTTAATTAGCTTATACTTGACTACTAACTAAGTAACTATAGAAAAATAGTTCCCATATATAAATATTCAAGATTATAAACAATGTAGAGTATATTCTCTGGTTCTAGATATATCATTCCGAGCTGCACCAAATATAAATGCAATCGTGTGGTCAATTTTCTTTTACCCTAATGTTGTTTGGTTAGAAAACTAGTATATGATATGTTTGTGTCATTGTGTGTGTATGGATTAATATAAAGTTCTCTGTTGGTGGGTCGATCGTGGGATTGATTTCATAGATTATTATTGGGTCCACTGACGCAGCACAAGATCAGAGACTGTAGTTTCCAAGAAAACTTATAATGATCTTCTTTTTTTGTAATGTAAGTGTAATGTAGTAGCTAGTAGTATTAATTTGGATATAAAAGTCTACTGTATCTAACCACATTACGTGAAATATTTATTGTTGATTAGTACTACTTACTAGTAATGGAGGAGGTGACTATAATTATACAGTACGGCGTATCATAAATACATTGAGGCTTTAATTTTTTCTCTACGAAAACTGGTAATGTCTAGTAGTTGGCCATTGTTTTTTAAATCAAATATTCGATTTCGGTCCGTCTTATTTGAATAGACTTTAGCAAAATTTCCCGGTAAAATTTTAAATTTGGGAACAAGATTAATTATTCCTCAATATATTTATAGTTGACATATAACAATATAGAATATAAAATGAGTAAATTGTACTAAGAGATGATTACGAGACTCGCGTTTAAAAAAAATGTGTATATTTACTTATTTATGTATGAGAAAATCACGTTAAAACTTGTAGAAAATATATCCAGATTACTAGTCAAAGATTGTAGTATTGCTATTAGAAATCTAATTATACTAAATCAACAGTCACTTTATAAAAAACTGATGCACTATCTGATTGACACATCAGCTTAGTACGATTTTCTTAACTCTTTTTTCTCACGGAGAGATTTTGTTTACAATAAAATAAAACAAAATTAAAAAGAAAAATACCTTCTCGTTTTTATCTGCCTTTTTATTTTTTCAAAACCCTTTTCTCTTTTATAGGCCACGATCTCCACCTCTTCCACTTCTTCTCCTCCAAAATCTCCATGAACTACTACTGTATGTATAAAATTCTTAAGGATGGTCTTCTCAACACCATACATCGATTATTCTCAGAAATCAGGTAATATACCGTTCCTCTATATTTCCATGGTTTTTTTTTTTGCGCTGTTTCTGTTTTATCTGAGTGGATTCGATTTCTCTCATAAATCTTTTTTCATAGGATTTTTCTGTAATGAATCAATGCCTATGCTTCTCCTGTCTCACAAATACTCGAAGAACACCAACGAATTTTGGCTTCTCAACACGTTGCCTTAAAACCCATGTGAGTTTTGTATCTTAATCAAATCTCAAGTTCTTTTTTTTTGGAAAATTATTTCTCAGGCTTTTTACAATTCTTCTTTTATTTCTTATTTACTTCTTTATATATGCAATTTCGTTTTTGTATAGCCCATTCTGCAAAACAAAAACAATGTCTTCAGTAGCAATATCTCACTCACTTGCTTTCTCTTTTTTTTTATCAGTTTGGTTTCTTTGAAACTTATGTGGGAGAACATAACAGCCAAGCATGGGACGGCCATTAGTTGATAAGTTCTTTGTGAGTTTCTATTCAGCATCCTCTTTCTCCATGTGTATTTATTGTCAAGTATATTACATTTATGTTTGATGCATAAGTCATTATAATTATAGAGAAGACGTAATGTTTTTAAAATACAGATTGAATTAAAATTGGGAAATTCATTTACGTTAAAGGCTAAATGCACTTCACAATTATTTTGTATGCTGAACAAACTTAGAAACTTGCATTCAATGACGCAATGGTTTAATTGGTCTGTTTGACAAGAGGACTAGATTGCATTTTTTTGTGTTCATCTATGATCATTACCTTTTGACATGTAAATGTTTGAGATTGTCTTGATCTTTTCTCTTATATGTATGTATGTATGTATTGTTAGGTAAGTGACATCATTGATATCAAAATTTTACTATTTTCATATGTGAATTTGTTTTCTTCCTTTCGTTTCATTCCATTTTGACTTTTTTAAAGGCAGCGTCATGTATTTACCTGTCAACATTTTACATTTTGCTTTCAGACTTTCAAGCTTTGGATGTAAAGGAATGTTTGCAAACTGAATTACTGATGATGAGAAGAGGAACACATTATTATTGGTTGGAGCTAATGAATAACCGGATATCGCCAACAAATTTGTGCAGGCTGCCAAAAAAATATGTATTAGAAAAGAATCAAAGCAGGAGAATGAGAGTAAGTACAAGAGGAAATGTATATACCCCAGCCTAATTATTGTACTTATACTTCTCTTATATTTCTAAGCTCTCTAAGTATTAATTATTACTGTATCGCAATTGATTGATTCGCTATTAGGCAGATAAGTTGTACATTTTCTTATATCTTTTTCTTAATCTCTTGTATATTCTTCAGTCATTGACAAACAAGTTGTTGTATATTTATGCTGTCATAATTATTTTAAAAGTCTTAGTTAAGAGTTGTAGCAAAATATAATTTAAAACAATGTTGTCCCTGCATAGCAGGGGCCATAATGCTAGTCTCTTATAAAACCACAGTTTTTAATATTCTACTATTTTTTTAGCAAAAACTTCTAAAACCTAGTAATTTTCGAGTGCTCGTTTTTTTTTCATTTGTTGTGTATAAATTTGTATCTCTTTTTTTTTTTTTGATAAAGAGTTTCTCATTATTGTCACTGATGATGGAAGATTGAAATGAAGCTACTTTTCGAATAAGATGAAATCACCATTTCATGGGGACACAGTGTGTGAAAGTCCTTTAGGTGGATATTCATCATAGGCATTAGGCAAAACAAAGCAACTAAACAAAAGATGAATTAAAAGTAAGATCGAGATATAAATTAAATTAAAAGACAAAAGAGGACTCGCTTTTTCTTTTTGTTAGGAAAGTGATAAATAATAATAACTACTATTTGAGTAATTTCCCATCCACCGACGAGAAATCACTTAAGTTTTGTAAAATGAATTATTTCTTAGAGAGTCGTTTACATGTTACTAAAAAACTATGCACCAAATCAAATGAGTTTAATAATTAGATTTGTAACTTCATCAACTGCATATTTGGATAGAGCCAACTTTGAGGTAACAAACTAATCACAAACAGAATTCACCAACCACAGCAAAAGGTGGTAAATGGTTTTTACAATTTTTACAAGGGAGATATATATATATATATTATCATCTTAGAGAATATCACATAAAAACTGAAATATAATCAAATATATAAGATCATGTATATATTTTAGCTAGGACTGCAAGTTCCAACACATTACACATATATGGTTCAAATTATAAATTTTGAAATGAAATCCCCACTCTTTTACTTTAAGAACGTTAACGACGAGTTTTTATTTGATGTTTGTGAAAGAATTTATAGTATAAAAAAGCACACAACGTATGTAAGTTATATATAATTTTCTCTTGAGCAATTGATTCACATTGCGAACTACCAAACTTTCATGAGAAAAGGTGAAAACACTAAGTTAAGCTAAGAAAGGCATGTCACGTGTGAGCACGATTACTTTTTTTTTTTTCTTTTCTTTTTTATGCACGAGTATTAGTTACCTAACATTTCAATAGATACTTCAACTATGTAAATAACAATTTTTGGCACCCTTTTATTTTCCACTCAACATTTAAAAAGTGTGATGGGGTTTAAACTTTAAAGCGCAATGAAAAGGAAAAGATACCATATCTTAAATGTCCAAAGGGTCACTTAAGCTTGTCGCAGAAACATTCGGCAAATATAATTATATAATATAAATATCACTATCCAATTTTTAGTGTATTAAAAACTAATTAGAAATTACTATTTTAATGTACGCACGGGTCGGTGTTCATAGTTGCTTGTCTCATGCTCTTAACCACTCCGAGCCACGACGACTTTGCTTAAGATAACCAATAAAAGCTACATGTTTTTCGTCTACAATTCACACATAAAATTATTAAATTTAGATTCAAATGGCAATATCTATCTATATATAATAGCAAACCCACTTTTTTGTGTCTGCTAACGTCATCAGCGTAAAAAGTAAAATAAAAAATAACAATCAACGGTTCAGATGTAAAAGACACAAATTGTACGGTTGAGATTACTCCTCAACTCCTTTCTTTTTTTTTTCTCAACTGTTGCGTCTCCTCTCGTCTCACACCCCTTCGATGCCAATATTTGCGATGTTTACTTCAAACGTGTGTAAGATCAACCAAACACCTTTTCAAT